ACTCCGTGATTCCCGAGATATTAATTTACCCGTAAAAAACTTTCACGGGGCCGTACGTGTTACCCGTGGCTACGAGAAGGCTGAATTTAAATTTGTCGCGTCACCCGTTGGGGGGGAGGGGGAGGGGAGAACACTACACCAAAATTTCAGCCGCCTAGCTTTTGCGGTCCCCGAGTTGAAAGTGCAGGACAAAATGTGGAACACACACACAGACAACCCCGTGACAATATGCGTTTTGTAGCGCTGTTACACAGCACAAAACGGAATAGCCGGTGCGATCATGTGTTTTGCGCGATTCTGCCCATTAAACGATTGCCCGTTAATGATTTTCACTGCTTTGCACTTTGGTTTGTGCAAAAATAGTTGAAATGTTGAAAAATAGTTAAAAATTTCACGCATCGGCAGAATCTGAAACCTCGAAGGGTGAATATCTTTCCAGAATTTCAATCTCCTAATTTTCTGGCCTTCGAATGACCTTTGAGATAAAACTTCCAGGTAGTCGTACTTGAGACCTCTGCAATACTTAGGGACTGAATTTGAGTTTGTAAAGCCCCTGCTTAGGTGGGAAAAATCTTCCTGAAATTTTTAGCCCCTCAATTCTTCTAGCTCCCAAGATAATGACTTTTCTCGCCAAAACATCCACGAGGACGTTGAAAATTTGCGGAGTTATACGTGGGCCACGATATGATTCCAGCTTTCTAGCTTTTGCAGTTCACGAGATAATTTCCTTACCAAAACATTCACGGAGCTGTACATGGTACCCAGGGGTACGTGAAGGCTGAATCCAAATTTAGGGGGTCACACGTTGATAGGGGACATCACCGCAAATTTCGGATTCCTAACTTTCGTGATCCCAAGATAATAATTTTCCCCGCCGAAACTTTCACGAAGCCGTATATGATACCTGAGCGTGCGGGAACGCTGAATTTGAATTTGCAAGATCGTACGTGGGCAAGGGACCATTATCCTAAAACCTCAGTTTCCTAGATTCCCGAGATAATTCCCCAACCCAAACTTTTTACAGGGCGTACGTGTTACCAGCGGGCAGGGGAAGGCTGAATTTAAATTTCCTGTGTCGTGCGTTTGCAGGGGCACGCTTACAAAACTTCAGCCTTCTAGCATCCGTGGTTCCTGTGCTAATAATTTTACCCGCCAAAACTTAAACGGTTACTCGCGGGTAGGGGAAGGCTGAATTTAAATTTGCGGGGTCACACGTGGGCGGCGAACGTCTTCCTAAATTTTCAGCTTTCCAAGTTGAAAGTGGGGGAAAAATTCTGCGGACACACACACAGACAACCCGTGACAATATGCGTTTTACACTGCTGTTACACAGCACAAAACGCATAAAAAGCGGAATTTTCGGGAAATGCATTTCTATTTATGAATGTTTCTGTATGTGTACGTATAGTTGCACTGAGTAAAGATCCCAAGGAGCGGACGTGAAAAGAAGAGGTCGAGTGCGTCCGGAATCGAATGCTGATAATCATCAGCAGGGCAGAGTTAGCATCAAAATCTGTTAGTAGTTCCGAGGAGCTTCGGGAGGCCCTGAGCAAGCACGGCGGGCGAGCGAACCCAACAAAATGCAGTTCACATATCCAGCCATTTCTGCGCATCCTTCCGACTAAGTTGAGTATCTAAGAAATCCAGGAAGGGAAGGAGAAGTGGCATGTAACTGCGCCAGCCAAAATGCTGTACTTGCGAACAATTTAGTGCTGTTTCTTGAGTTGTAAGCTGAGTGACAAAGTTCACACATACACAAATGTACACACATGCACACACATGCCCACACATGTACACACA